GGACCCCTTCGCTGGGAACTAAGGAAGCAGTTCCCAGGCTACGAGATGAAGCAATATAACATCATAATGGATGCCCTCGGGGGGGTGGTCACAGGAGCTGGATGTCATGATGCGTGAGCTGGTGGGAGGCAGAAGCACAGACGTACTACGAAAGATGCAGAGGGCAGTGCTCTCGGGTACGCTGAATATTGCCCGGACTTTCAAGGTGGCAGTTTGAGTTCCTGTTAGAAGGAGGACCATAGACACAACAAAAAAGCTTTTTAGGATTAGTTAACGTACATTTATTTTTTACTCCATGGCTCACAGGTTACGGTTTTCACCTTACAGGTGCTGCTTGATTAGAATGTAGCATTCAATTGATTTCTCTGTGATAATAATAATAATAATAATAATTAATTATTAGGCATCTGCTTTTACACAATACATGATAGATAGCAGAGCTCTACAACTGAATGCTGTAAAAGCAAAACCAATTGAAAGTCATCACAACAGCCAATCACAGGAAAGAAAAATACCCTAGAAAGCCAATGAATGCTCAGTTGAAAGTAAAAACAAGCAAACTGCCTGAAATGCAGAAAAACCAGGGTGACCAAGTTGTAATTGGTTTTAGTTTACCATCTGATTGGTTGGAGAGTGGCACAAGTTTTCTGGACCAATAACAGAGCAAAGTAAGGCAAAACCAAATAAATGCAATCCTGGATTGAAAACTCTCTATCACACATGCGTTCAGTTAATGTAAATGATTTGTAAAAAGATGATAAGTTTTGAGCTTGGTAAAGAAATAAAGAAAGATGTTTTTTTTTCTTGTCATGATCAAGCAACTGGAACAAAGAAAAAATGGACCATGAAGAATTGAACCTCAGATCTTTGGATGAAAAACATCTAACTTTCTTTACATAAATGTTCTTTTTAGCTGAGCAGATCTGTGACAGAAAACATTTATTCAGCTCTTACCTGTTGATTGTCATCGGGATCACATGTTGCTGTCTCAACTGGGCTTCCAGAAAACCCATCAGTAGACCTCAAGCAGATATCATGAGCAAAGTTTTTGATAAACCCATTTGACAGAGCCCAGGCCTATCAGAGGGAAATAAATGTTAGACAAAAATAATAATAACTAGGGTAGGTACCTGAAAAGGGACCCAAAATAGTCCTGAAGTTGAGTAGCATATTAACGTTATCATAAAATAATATCATGTTCCTCAAAAGCTTGAAAATTCATGTTGCTTCCTGCATTATCCCATATATGTCCTGAAGAATGGACCTGTAGTGTAATTTGGAAAAGAAAATTTGTCCAAAGATATGTTTCTTTCAAATAAAATAAATCATTTTAAAAACGCATTAAACTTAATATTTAAATCCATTTTTTAATAAAATCATTTTGAAGTGCAACACAAAGAGTGCAAATATGTTCAGGGAAATCTGATATCTGAGCACACATTTCTAATCACTAGTTTTTATTCTTTGTTCTCAGAAAAAAAAAAGAATGCAAAACATTTCTGATAGTATACTGTACAGGTAAATTATAGTTTCAAAATATTGAAATGTTTCTTTTTTACATGGCAAAAGAAAAAAAAAAAATACTGGTAAAAAGGGAGCCAGTTTTAAGCAAATCCAAACATTAAAATTTCACAATTTTCTTTTTCTTCAATAAAGAGATAAGTGTCCCAAAATGAAAAAAGCAGCTAGGAACAAAAGAAGCGAACAGTAAGTCACCTGATTTCTTCCTTCACCATGGCATTCATACAATTCAACATCACTTCCTATTGGCTGTTCCATTGAATCAATACACATGTCATTCTTGAAAGCAGTTGAACTTATCTCATTTCCCCTAGTTGAATGATCATTCAAACATGGAATGTAACAACAACTAAATTACAAGGTCAAATGATGTAACTTGGTGTAACTTAATTCTGACTTGTACCTCTTTTGTAAAGATCTGCATGTTTACTCATTTACATTGATTTCACTCTTATTAGTGTTAAATGCCAGAGCTTAAGGTCTGTGTAATTCCTAGGGACACTAGTAGTCTACCAGCTTCCCAAAAATTCATTCCTCAGATTGAAGAAGAAACTTCTCATCAAGACAACAAGTTGAAATTCAGGAAATTGAACGTACAGTCACCTGTAAAATTTGCCCATTAATTGCCTGGAAGCATGGAGATTGCAGACTTGATATTAGATAGCAGGACCAATTTAAAGCTACATTTTGACTCTCTTCTTTTTGCCAATTAATGTTTACTTGGAATGTATCAATGCATCTGTTGACTACATGTTGTCATTATATTTCCACTTATCTGCATGTATGTGTGTTTCACACAAAGTCATGTCTTAATTGCAAGCTAAGAGTGCAGAGAAAAGTTGAACAGCCTTAGCTTTAACTTGTACGAAAAGGTCTGAGTTTTTCACGATGATTAGGCATTCTTTTTCATTTTAATGAAGTAGTGGAAATTCCTCAATACCCACTTTTTCTTTATGCATGTTTTACACACCAAATTTAAACTTATGCAACTTTAGAAATCCACCTTTAAATAGAGTTTAATCTGCCAGGTACTTGTTCAAAACTGAAATAATTGCAGATTTACTAAAATAATGAACAAGTTTAGAACTTCTCCTTGATAAGTGAATTCAATTTCATNAAAAAATGCCCTCTGTCTTGAGCAATCACAATTCAGTAATTTTGCCCCTTACATGATAAAGGTAGTCATTAAGTTTGTCATAAACTTTTAATTAGTACACCATAGTCAAAATGAGAGTGGTAAAGCCTTAATCACACATTAAGTGTTCTGTTAAGTTATCACTGTAAGGCCGTTGTAAATCAAAGCATCTACCATGTGCAACTTTTTTTTTATAGCAATTCTTTTCCATCATGTTTAAACCTTTACACAGTAATGTCAGTATGCATATTCTCCAAACTGTATAGTGCAGAAACTGTGAGAGTTTGTTTAACAATCAAGAACTTCCTTAGTTGGTGATCCATTCCTTTATTCTTATGACAATAATGTTTGATTCAGTGGTGACACTGAAAGGAGTATTAAGATGCCAATCACTTTTAGATGGTTTACAGTCAGGTTATTTATTACCCTTTCTCTTACCCCAGCTTTTAACTAAAGCATGCACTGAGTATTCAACTGCAACATTTGAAATTTGAACTCACCTCAAGATATGAATCTTCTCTTGAAGATAATTACTCAATGTTTCCATCTAACGTAAATGGGGGTAATAATTAAAATCAATGTACTCCCGGTATGTCATCTTGTTTCCTTAACTTCTTGACCTTAACGCTGGTCAAACCCCACCCTGCGAGCAGAGCCTTCTTAACCTGTCCTCAAATCGAAAAGGGAAAAGGCTCTGTCGACATCCTGTTGTTGCTCATTTGAACATGCGCAGTGGTCACCCATTTGGTCATCTGTTTGTACGAAAAATAAAGGCGCGCTCACCAAAACTGGTTTGACTGGAGGCAAAACTGGCTTGAGTAGCCCGGAGTTTTGGGCTTTCGGCATTTCAAAGAAACAACAGGATGTCGGCAGAGCCTTTTCCCTTGGAGGGTTAAAAAGAAGAAAAGAAGAAGGAAAGAAGAAAAGGCTCTACTCGCAGGGTGGTCAAACCCTTGAACAAAACTGTCAACTAAATTATCATGCAATGTAAATTGGCAGAGTTTCTCTATTTTTCTTAATAACCCTTCCCTTCCTTCTCTCTCTTTTCGAGAATTAGATTGCAGTCTCCATGTTTTTTTTGAGAGGAGGCCAAAAATCCTGCAAAATATGGGTCAGAAAAAGGTATGATAATTGTTTAATTGTCTAATTTCATGAAACAGAGAAAAACATTTTGAGTTTGTATGAACAATTGAACCTCAACCCTTCAGATTCTGCTCTCCAATGCCCTACCACTGAGCCACAGACACTCTACAGAGAGTTAGCCAATAATTTGTGTGGACTCATATTTGACACACATCTTGCAACATCAATCAATCAATCAATCAATCCTTTATTTAAACACGTGACACCTAGGAGTACAGAAGTTCTCATTAAAACGTGTACGTGTATGTACAATTAGAAATAAAACATAATTTCTGTAAGAATACAAATAATAAGTAGATCTATTAAATAACTAAAAACAGGATCGAAGATCATGGACAAGAGCTATCAATAAAAAGTTACAATATTAACAATATTAACAATAACGATATTTACAATCACTACCACTAAGCCATGTGGGCTTTAAGAGAACGCTTGAATGAAACAATATCTTGAGATTCTCTGAGTCTAGGGGGTAGCGCATTCCAAAGTTTACTAGCTAAAAATGAAAAAGACCGATGTAAAAACTCAAGATTAAAAGGAGGTAAATCTAGCCTTGTACTGAGCCCGCGTAAACTATACGGTACATTTCTAAAATGAAAAAAATCACTTATATAAGGAGCCCCCTTATCATACAAGCACTTATATAACATAACTAACGATTGGAATTGCCTACGATTCTCCAAAGACTTAATGTCGGCCAACTTGAGGAGGAAGTCGTATGACACAGACTTCGAGAAGCCTAATATAGTTCTTAATATAAAGTAATTAGTTGTCTCTATTTTAGTAGTCTCCGCGTTACCTACTCCCAGTAAAAGGGGACTGCAGTACTCAAGATGAGGGAGAACATAGGCCTTATATAAACGAACTAACACGTCCTTTGAAATAAACTTACGTATTCTCCGCAAAGCCGAAGCCTTTGCGCATCCCTTATTCAGCTGTTGCTTTATGTGCGCTTTAAATGTTAATTTGCTATCTAGGACCACCCCAAGGATTTTGAGTGTGTCCTTTGTATGGACATTAGAATCATTAAGATGGAAATCATACTGGTATGAAGACGGGCCAATAGCGATAGCTTGCGTTTTGGCGGCATTAATCTGTAAAAAATTCATTGAGAACCATCTCGATAGAACGCTCAGATCAGAGTTAATTATATACTGCAATACTGTTGGTGAGACATCAGAGGCGTAATGAGTAGTGTCGTCAGCGTATAGCCTCAAGGACGTATTAGTAATAAAATAATTAAGATCATTAACATACAAATTAAATAAGAGTGGACCCAACAGGGACCCCTGTGGTACACCAGTTTTAACGGTTCTCCACGAAGAATATACACCATCAAGTTTGACTCTCTGTCTCCGTCCAGTAAGGTAAGCGGTCATAGTTTCCAG